CAATATCGTCTTTCTTCAGCCATTTTAATTTTCCCTGAGCTGGAGGACTGAGCTCCCTACTTCCTGCTCTTGAAAATATCCCTGTTCCCAGTTACTAAGGTACAGAATCCCAGAGTCAGAATTGCCGTCAGGAGGCCTGTCCGGTACCACCAACAGCCCAGAACTCGTACCCGCCAGACCTGTCCTCACGCCTGGTCTCAGCATTCCAGGCTGGCTTTAGCTGCCTTTGACACCCCCACCTAGGCCACCAACTTCTGTTTCTGAGAAGTATCACTACCTCTTTCGCTTCATTTTGTTTATTTATCTGTTTATTATGTATATGTATACACACACATGCACACACACACACACACATGCACACACACACACACACACACACACACACACACAGGTCAGTGGAAAGCTGTTCTCTCATTCCACCATGGAAGTCAGCAGGCTTAGCAGCCAGTGCACACTGAGGACTTGATCCCTCTCTTTCTACCAGAGCGCTAAGGCGAAAGGACAGATGACAGAAGACATCTCCCATTTAGTACCAATATGCTGACTTCCTCCGTAATTTCTCTGCATGTCTCCTGTTCAGAGAACAGAGCCCAGTTTATGCTCCATTGTAGGACTTCATTTCTGGAGCGTGCCTTTACCTACTATACTGTCTCGCCCAGCCTACTCTTTCCAGAAGCTGCAGAACTCTCCCAGTTAGAGAGGCAGGCCCTAGGTTCCCAAGCCCAACAGACCTGCTCCCCTCCCAACAGTCAGCAGGGAGACCTGGGGCATCCTCGGGAGAGAAAAATGGACTGAGTGGTGCAGAACATGAGAAGTGGAAGGAAAGTCTTGTGGAAGAGAAACTTGGCCTGTGTCCTGTGGGGGCCAACTAAGCTGCCTTCTTAGCCCCCAGCCCAGGACCTCAGGAAGACTGCCTGCCTTCTCTGTGCCAGAGAAAACTTGGGTTTCTAGTCTGTAAAATGAGGAAGGCGGTACCTCAGACAAACCCTGAGGCCTCTCCTCATGTCCCGCTGCATGGCTCTATGACAGCTGGTTTGAGTGACAGACTTTAGGGACTATAACCTATCCAGTCAGGTCCTGACCAGATCACCCACTTCAAAGGCCACTCTAAGCTCCTTCTGGCCTAGTATTCCTCAGCTCTGTCACATATATTCTGGAAGCCTCTTCTGTCTGCTCCTGTCAGGGTCTTGACCTCTCAGTACTGGTTTTTACTGGGTTTTGGATCCTGCGTGCCTATGCATGTCAGACAAATGGTATCAGCTCAGCTTTCCTGTGTGAAAAGACTGAACCCCAGCAAGCATCACCCTGATCACCCCACTCCCTTCCCCCACATTCTGACCAGACCATGATGCCCCCAGCTGGGGTGCTAAGTCCCTGAGTTCTTTTCCCTGGGAAGAGTTGAGGATTTGATTTCCTGCAGGAAGCGCTGCATCCCTCCAGTTCCTATGCGCTCCTGAAGCTGGCAGCCTGAGGCTCAGGTCAGATCCTGCATTTCAGGGCAGGAGTGAAGACTTGTCTGTCTTTGGCCTTGAGGTGTTTGTTTAAGTCACTGGGCCACTCTGCCCAAAACATGATCCTGCCCACACCCTTGGCACAGGCTCCATACAAGGCACTCATGCAAGAAGCCACAATGCCAGAGGCCCAAGGATGGACAGTCAGCTCGGGGAGATCTAGTGTTTGACTTACAGGTTTAACCTCAGCTTACTCATCTGAAAAATAGTTGTTCCTTAGCAGGAACAGCTCAAAGATGAGGTTTGCCAAGAGGGTACCTGGTGAACACTGTGTCATTCTCTGCATAACTCAGAAATTCCCAGACCTGTTTAATGTGAGTATGGCGTGTGGGCAAGCCGTGTGAGCATGTGCGTGTGTGTGTGGTGTGTGTTTATGTGGGTGTACACATGTGCAATGAAAACCAAGGACAGGCTTAATGTAGAGGCCCTCGGATTGATTCAGACATCACAGAGGACTGGAAAGAATCTGGAAAAGCCCTCTAGAGGAGCATCACACATCCAGTCTCCCGGAAGTGACCCCCTAGGGATTATGGTTGAGCTTTCCTCTCAATAGACTGGATATTTTGATGAAAGGAATTCTGTCCTAATTATCTTGGTATTCAAAAGACAAGTTCCTAGCTCTAGAGAAGCAGTTTTGAAGGGAGGGAAGGAGGGAAGGAGGGAGGGAGGAAAGGAGGGAGGGAGGGAGGGAGGGAGAGACCAATACAACTTTCAGCCCTAAGGTGAGAGTAAAACAGAGACTTCCGGAAAAGAATCTGCCCTGCTGCCGAGGGAGATGAGGGGCTGCGGTTGGCTTGCTTTCGCCATGAAAACAGACAGAGAGCTAATGAAACCCAAGGCTGAGGCTGAGATGCTACGGGTGTGAGTGTCTTCACTGCTTTCTATTTCGGAGAATTTGTCTCTATTTCTTTGTCTCTGTGCTTTTAGCTCAGCTCCATGGCTGCTTCTCTATATTTTCATGTCCCTACTCAACCCTAACTGTTCCATAATTTATTATGACCATTATGCTCCCAAGATGCCTTTCAGTCTCCAGGGCCACTTGTCCGCTGGAACCACCTCTGATTCCTCACTTTGGGTCCGGGTCCCTCCATCTGGGCCTCCCACCTATGATTCAGCTTCAAAGGCCTCTGAGATCACTTATCCTGTCTAATTAGGTAAAGCCTCCCTGTCTGGAATTTTTCTGAAACTGTGAGAAAGTTGGAGAGAAGAGCCGAAGAGCTCTCAAGTTGTTCTGAAGGCCCCAGCTATCTGCATCCAGCCCCCCTTTGGGGCTTGTTCAAAAGCCTGGCTGAGAGTATCAAAAAGGTGGGTGTGACTTAGCAACCCACCCTTGCTTCTACAGGTTCAAAGGCAAAGTGATATAACAAGCATACACTTAACCAAATGCACTTCCCATCTCTTCCATGAAGATCTTTGTGATCTTGGGGCAGCTTATTTCCCTTCCGTCAGCCTCTGTTTACTCGCCCAAACACACGAGTAGCATGTAGATACCACATAGTTGGTTCTAGAATTAAATCAGATAGCCTGTGTGGGAGTTGAGAGGTACTACAGCAAGCCAGACAGGACTCAGAGGGGACAGTTAATGAAACTCACACTAGACTGGTTGGTAGCCCAGAATATCTGGGGTTCATTTAGAAGAGGAGGGATATCTGCAGATAACCCTGGTTGTCCCGTCAACTGGGCGGTACCCTCTCTGCCCAAGAGTATAGCCCAAAATTCCCTGATGGACATGGTGCCTCAGCAGAGAGACCCACGGTTTGATCCTGATGGCCACTGTCACTTGGCTACAGCAGGAGTCTGATGACTCATCGGCTTTCTAGGAATTTCCTGGCCAAAATGCAGAGCAGGCCAGACTGCCCACTGCACTGGACGGTGCTGGATGCCAATGGGAAGAGTTTTGTTTTCAGGTTTTGCTTTGTTCAAAGATTCCATCATATAGTCATTCATCCATTTCACAGACTCGTAGTGAAGTCTCACTTCTACGCAGTGGGGCTAGGCAATCAAAATGCAAAAGTAAACAAGCTCGTAGCTGCCCACCGACATCTTCACAGGGTAATGTGTATTTGAAAGACTAACAACTGGGCACATCACGCCCAGTGGCAATGCTCCATATTATGACACCATGGCAAGAAATGCTGCAGGAATAAGACATGCTGTCTGTGCAGGAGCATGGGAAAGGGCTCGTAGACACAGTGCCCACCCACACGTCCCGCCCTCCCCTAAGTGGGGCCCACTTGCTTGGGTTCTTTGCATTCTGGATTTCTTCAGCAAGTTGTCTGGTTACACCTTGACAACTCTGAATGACCTTGGGAGTTTCCCCAGTCCCCACAAGCAATGCATCTACAAACTATCCCTTGGGTTGGGCCTGCAGACAATTCGTACGTTCATTCATTCAACAAATATTTGTCGAGTCCCTATTATGTACTGAAGCAAATTCGTTTAGCCTTCCCCAGGACACTTCCAACCGCGCGTCACTGAAGCCCCCCCTCTATCGACTCCATCACACTTCCGAACTTCTGTTTTATCTTAGAGGGATGGAAGGACAATTCAGGGCTAGGACAGTCTAGAACAAGATGTCTTGGAAAAAAGCCACCTAGCATCAGGCAGGAGTCCCACATGGTGGATTTCCACACCTCTTTCAGAGGTCTCTGGCTGCATCTTTGGCCATGGAACCCGCAACTCTTCCCGCAAAGGATGCTGGGATTCCAAGCATTGCCATTGGCTCTGTTGCATCGCTCCTGGAAGGGGTGGAGCCTGCGGTGTTGAGAGTTGCTGCCTTCCAGAACACTAGCTTAAATTTGCTCTAGTTCCGCTTTCTCTCCTTTACCATGGTGCTCCTGAGTCCCGTGCGTCCCTGACGCTTCAGAGCACGCTGCACCCACTACACGGGGACAAATTTCACAATGATTTAAGGTCAGGGACAGAACTGGAAACCAGATCTCCACCTCAGCTCCAAGTATTCCAAGAGTAAAACAGGGCCTCCAGACACCGTTCATGCCCTTTCCCAGGGTGCTCAGAGGTCCACTGTCCCCCACCTCCAGCTCCCCAACCTTCAAAGCAAGAGCCTCAGAGTCCCACCCCTCAGGTGCCTTCAATAGTGCCCATTGTCCAAGAGGCTTTGTGGCTTGACCCCCAGCCCCATAAGTAGCAGGACAACAGGCTCAAAGAGGAATCTGCCTGGTGCCCCTCCTCTGCTGACTGCCTTGGGAGAGTCTTGTGGGGTAGTGGCCCCGTTGAATGTGACCTATTGTCTTCAGGGTGGATTTAGGAAGTGCCAGGCTCCCATCAAACGGCCCTGCTCCCTGGGTAAAACAAAAAAAGGGCTGTTCATTTGGGACCTTTTCCCCCTTATCTCCTTTTCCTATCTCCTTAGGCTTAGCTCTGGTGTAGTGTTCAAAACCACTTCCCCTCCGAGCCAATCAGAAGCCGGGGCTCACCCGTGGCCCTGAGGTGAAGTTATTTATAAACGCCTCCCTGGATTATTTGAGCAGAGCCCTTTCACACACCTCAGGAACACCTCTCTGCTGCCTGCTGCCCGCTGCCCGGACACACCTGCAGCCCTGCCCAGCCAGCTCTGCTCACTCAGAGGTAAGCCCCACCCAGCCCAACCCACCCTAAGGGCTGGGGGTTATCCAGAGAAGAGGACTGGCCCCAGGGGTACCTCCAAAAGAGAGATGAAGATGACAGGGTGGGGGGTTTGCCAAGCTGAGCACAAGTCAGAAGGACGCTGTGGACCAGCGTCTCTGAGCAGCCCTCCAGCCCTACCCTGTGTGGAGCCCACTGTAAAGACCTCGGCTACTAGGCTGGGTGTAGCTGCAGGAGAAAACAGAATAAACCCTGCATTGGAGGAGGTCGGTGACACTCACACTCAACTAGAGTGGAGCAAAACAAGGCCCTCCAGGAAAAAGAAGGGAGCCTGGGTCTTCCTGGGCCTCCTGGGTCTCTTAAGCAGCTACCTGCACTCTCTACTTCTTTCCAAGTCCTGGGAGCAGAGAGCTCTCGGTATGTCTGTCTGTCCATGTGGCTCTGTCCCCGTCTTTTCTGCCCCTAGACATCCTCCGGAATCCCTCATTGTTTTCTTACGAGCTCAGGGTGCTTAGCTGCATGGGCTCCTATTTAGTTGCTGTTACTTCTATGAAGCCCAAAGAGGTAGACATGGAGGAAGCTAAGGAGTAGAAGGCAAGCAAGGAGCAGGCTCCATCAGGCAGGTGGAGCATAAGAGGGGCAACACGGAAGGATCTGGGTTAGTGCAGAGAGAGGTGAGGAGCCCGGCCCACAAGCATCTAGCTTTGATGCTCTCATAGTTCTTAGGGGTCCCAAGGCATCGTTGGACAGTGTCTCTCCCCAGACTAAGCTAAGCCAATCTTTTCTCACCACAGCGCCGACTCCTCAGTCGAGCTTGGGGAAGACCAGATTTAACGATGTGCCCTGTGGAGTGGCAAAGCCTTCCCCACCCTGAAATGGGACAGACTGAGAGAGAAATTTCTCCTTATGGGATTTTACTGGAAGACAATCCTCTCACAGAGCCCCTGCAGCAACCCCCCCGCCACAAACACACACACACACACACACATACACACACACACACACACACACACATACACACACACACACACATACACACACACACACACATACACACACACACACATACACACACACATACACACACACACATACACACACACACATACACACACACACACATACACACACACACACATACACACACACACACACACACGTGCTCTCAGAACCTGGCCAGAGCCTGCTTGTACAGCATGAAGAACAGCACACACCAGAAGCAGATCCACCACTACGCCAGCCTTCTCAGGACATCCCGGGGTCTGTCCTGGCCTGGGGCTCGCTGTACAGAATCCTGAAGTAAAGTTGACAGCTTTATCTCTTAGTGCTCAGAGGCTTCGGCAGAGTGACATAAAATCTATACTCAGTGAGAGTGTGTCAACCTAAATGAAACAGCCTGAGAAGGCTTGTTAAAGGGACGGGACCAGCCGGACATGAGCCAAATGGAGGGCAATGTGGTCAGGTCTTGCGAGATAAAATCCCCCCGGGAAGTCAAGCTTCCACCAGTGCCACCTGGAATTTTGACCTGGATCCTTGGATTCGCTGGTCTCTTTAGGGATTTCTAAGATTCTAACCCCATGTATCCTTACAGGGATCTTGTGGCCTGGCGCAAATCTCGCTGTTCAGCATCTCACTTAGTCCCTCTGCTGGGACTCGGTCCCAGTTCCTCCCTTCTCAACAGGGTGAGCAGATGCCAAGTGGGCTTAGAGATAAGGAATGGGGACCTGAGTGTCACAGCAATGAGTCCCCTCCACAGGCTGCAGTCCCAGAACAGGCTGAGTCCATCCTCCCGTACATCATAAAGGAGGACCTGGGGCTAGAAGGGGAGTTCAGGTTGTGCAAGAAACAGGGCAGCGACAATAGAAAGAGTATTTCAAAATGTCTTAGGGGTGACAGGCTTCTAGGGCCCCTCCTCCTGTCAGGGACACAGTCTCCAGCCAGAACCCCAACCTTCTGTCCTGACAACCAGCTTACCTCCCTATTTTGGCCAGAGAGAGACTCCCCTTTCTTGGGATACCTGCCCTAGATGAGGAAGGCAAGGGGTAATTGAAGCTAAGGGGACTTCAAGGTGACCTTTCCACTCCCCAGAACGCAGCCAGCAGACAGGTAGAGAGCCGTGATAAGGACACCTGTGATCTGCCAGGCCAGGCTGCTGCAGTGTCTGGCACAGGTGTGTCAAGGAACAACTCCCCCAAGGCACCCTCCCCCCAGCCAGGGCTTAAGAAGGAAGTCATTCTGGGCTACAGGGACAGGGTCACCTCCAGGTGGTACAGAAATCCATGAGCCGGCCCTCGCCTTTCTGCTCCCCAATGTCCCTCCTCCTCAGAAAAGACTCTGTCTCCCTCCACTAGTCCAGAAAATATCGGGAGTGTGAGGGAGGGCCTGTGACGGAAGCGTAGGATCAGGTCGGAAAAGGAAGGCCAAGTGGCAGAGCTAGAAAGGGTATCTTCCAACGTGACAGCAATAATAATAATGGCCAGAAGTGACGACGCTTCCCAGGGCCAGGCTCCCCGCTGTTCATTTCCCTGGGCACTGCCCCCCTAAACAAGCATCCTAAGGGATCCACAGACCCAGTTGAACACAAGCTAGGGAGGAGGTCCAGTGCCCACTTCTTTTGTGCGAGCTCATTTTAGGAGTCCTCACAGGGTCCGTCTCTCTCCCTTCCTTCAGCTCCTGGGCTGTGCAAGAGCCCGAGATTCCTCAGGCTGACCTTATTTCTTCCCTGCCCAGATTTAGGAATTGCTTATGTGACTCTGAGTCCTAAAGAGCCCACCTCTAGCTCTTCAGAATGCCCTCCTCGCTTTCTCCACTGTGAGAGTCACCTTTCGGTTCCTCAGCACTGTCACAAGGCACCTGCAATCTATTGATGTGGAGGAGTTACACACTGTGTGTGGGGTGGGGCTCATTACACAGCCATGACCACGAAACCCTTGGCCCACCAGGACTATGTTTAACTAGGGGTCAAATCATCTCGTTCCTGATAGCTCTCTGTGTCTTGTTCCTTTTAGAGGTTTAAATTTTATGTATATGAGTGTTCTGCCTGTATGTATGTATGTATGTATGTATGAATGAATGTATGTATGTAACCATGTGTGTGCCTGGTGCCTGCAGAGGCAGAAGAGGCTGTCATGTTCCCTAGAATTGGAGTTAGGGGTTGTAAGCCACCATGTGGGTGCTGAGAATTAAACCCCACGTCTCTGCAAGAGCAGCAAGTGCTCTTAACCCCCCAAGCCATCTCTTTGGCCTCTTGTTCTTCTTTTACCTTGCCACCCAACCTAGCGTCTTAAGGCTCTCTTAGCTCTCTTAGAACCCCGAAGGCCCATCTACAAGAGGCGCAGGTCTACACTGCAGTAGCTCACCCCTTTTCCCTTCTCACACTCCCCTTTACCCCACGGCACCAGGGTCTGAAGGACTGAGTGGGGATGAAGGGACTATCACTGCTATGCCCACCCCACCTATCCCAGCCTTCCCTTCCTGGAAACAGGAAGTACAATGAAGGTTACAATGAAGGTGCCTGCTCTTCAGCAGTCAGGGCTGCCCCTGAGCCTACTCTTGCAACTCCGTCATTGTGTTAGTCAAACTGAGACCTGGAAAGGAGACAGCACCCAGGCAGAGTCTCCAAGAGGAGAAGCAGAACCCAGAAGTCTTGTCTGCTCAGAGGTCATCAGAGCCCGCACGTCAGTGTTGTCCCCTGGAGTCCTGGAGCCCTATCCACAGAAGCATTTGAGTAGCTGTCAAGGCCTAGTTCACACACAGCTGCTGTTCTCCTTGACTCAGTTTCCTCACGCACGAAATAAGAGAATTGAACCAGTACAGCCCTCGAATCCCCTTCTAGACACACCTCCCTGACTTCCACCCACTGCTGGCTTCCCCTTCTCTTAAACAGGTTTGTGAAAGCCCTGGTCCCCTGTGACACCCTCGTCAGGGAATAAGGAAAGGGGAAGACTGGGGTTACCGAAAGCAAAGGGACTTTTCCTTCTGCTAGCCTGTGTCACTGGGGACTCCCGGAGCTCAGGTTGCAGGCATGCCTTGCCCAGAGGGGCAGAGACTGGCTGAGTCACGTTCATTTCTCCACAAAGGATTCTCACCCCTGCCCCTTTTCTTTCTCCCATTCCTGGACAGGCAGCCAGGAATGGCCAGAGCCCACCACAGTGCTAGCCAGACCAGCCATGAAGGAGAACTGAGGGGAAAGAGTAGCCGGTCTCTCTAGGCCAGGGTGGTGGAAAAGGCTTCCGGATGGGGGTGGGGGGAGGAATTCCAGCAGGTCTTGAGGACAGGCAGGTCTAGAAAGGCAGCGATGAGTCAGCGCACCTAGGCTAAGGAGGAACTTTGGAGACCCAAGCCTGTTTGGGGTGAACAACCTGCCTGCGTGGGACAGAGGTACCAGGCAACTGGATCGTCTAACATGAGGCCTAAAAGAGGAGCCTGGGCTTGGTCCTCCTGGAAATGGCAACTGGCTTTTCCCAGCAGGACACATGTGCCCAGTGGAAGAGCTGGTGGCCAAACATTCAGTTAAGCATGGTACTTGAGTGAAGTCGGATGGGAGGACGGGGGCAGGGTGAAGGCCACACACAGGAGAAAAGGGGAGAAAAAAGGAAGCAATAGGATTAACTGGGGGTGGGGGACAAGTGGCAGGAACAGAGTGACTGGGTGGCAGGGAGAAAGATACCACTGAGGAAATGGAAGAGCTGAAGGCAGCCTCTGGGATGATAGCATGGGATATCCCACCCCTGGGATATCGCACGCCACAAACAAAACTAGCCTAAGAGATGGTCTTTAAAAATAACCTGAGGCGATCCTTCAGCCCCCCTCCACCCCCACCCTACCAGCTAGCACAGAAGTCAGATCCCTTCCCTATCTAAGTGGCTCTGCTTTCGTCAGTCAGCTCTCCTTGCAATCTTTGGCCAGTTCTTTTGGTCAGTTCAGTAGCCCGGGACACACTCCCCAAACGGCAAGCAACCCTGAAGCCTGGCACTATGGGCTCCTCTAAGGAGTCTTACTGGTCACTCGCTGCCCCCAGAGAGCCTGCCAAGCAAACCAGCCAGAAAGCCAGACCCTAGCAGACTCCAGGGAGGTTGGGAGGAAGAATGAAGCCATGCTGCTCCACGGAGCATGAAGACCGGCTGCTGGAGACTCATCTCCCATAAGGAAGCACCCTCCCGTCTTAATAATAATAATAATCAGTGTCGTTAGCATTCGCTGGGAACCTAGGAAACTGGCGCATCACGCAAAGCTCACTTAATCCCCACCGCAACTGCCTGGAACTGTTATTATCCCCACTTCCAGATGAAGAAACTTCGTCTTTGAACCCAGGTCATTCTGCCTCGAAAACTCGGGCTGTTCTCTTGAAGCCACTTTGGTTTCTCCCACTCATGTCTCACATACCATGGCCCTTGCTCACGTCTCTCCATGTCTCCTCCAAAGCCCCACGGGATGGCTCACTCCACAGGCACTTCTTAGGAACTAAATACCAGGCGAGTAGCTGGGCAGGGGCTCTGCGGGTAGGCTGGTCCACCCACTTTTACCCTCTGGTGGGCATCATTACAGGGTTTCACTAACAGGCTAACCTTTAACTACCATTCTGGAAGGCTGTCTCAGCCCCCAGACCAAAGGAATGGATACACCAACCAACTCAAGCACAACTTCCTTAGCCAAGACCCTCGCGTCACCGTCCTTTCCACTGTACTTAATTCCTTCTGGGCCATCACGCACACATCCCCGTGAAGTAAGCAGCCTAACCCACATTGCTGGCGAGGGCTTGGAGGTTCAGAGAGGTGGTATCATCCTTCCCTTCTCTTCCAAAAAAGCCAGAACAATCTCTGGTCCCTGGATTCCCATCTCTTACCAGTGTTCTCTTCCAAAAAACGCGTATGCTAACCCACTTCCTGAGGCCTTCACCTAGGAAGTCTGGTGGGGTGGGTCCCTCGGTGATTGCACATCTTCAACCCTATCGTAAACCTTTTGTGGTTACAGCCACCCCAGATTCCCCAGGACCTCTCAAATGTGAGTCTTCTCTCAGGCCACCCTATCTTTTTCCTCGCCTGAGGGCCTCTATGTAGCTCTTGCCAACTGGGCTTGAGGAACAGAAGAGGGGGTCAGAGTTAGAGGAGGGTGAAGGAAGGATTCTCACAGGGAACTCCTCCGGGCCCCAAGGGCCCTGGCACCAAGCTCTGCCCAGCTCAGCTCCTGGAACCTCAGGTTGCGCAAAGCGTGAGGCGGAGAGAGAGACACCAGTACACAAGGGTGGAGGATAGGCTAGGCCCAGGAAGCTGTGGGAGAGAACCAAAGCTGACCATCCAGACTTCCCCAAGCACACTATTGTCCTTCCTGGGGAAACCTGTTGGTGAAGTCGTGGGCAGGAGTCTTATCCAACAAAGGTCCTCCTGAGGTCGTGCTGGCTAGCCCCCTACCTCTAGGTAGGCTGTTTTCTCGATTGTTCCAAGCTAACCAGCTGACTGCCGTGAGCCTTTCTGCCAGGGAAACAGAGGCCTAGGGCAGGAAACAGTCTGTGGAGCCACCCCAGCCTCAGGGGAGCAGGATTCCTGTGTAGAAACCAGCTGTGACTTTTGTCCTTGTGCTCCCACCTCCTCTCTGCCTGGTGTTCAGCAGGAGTGACAGTGATGTCACAGGTGCGGAGTGCCAGCCACGTGCTGGGTGCCAAGCAAAACAGCCAGGGCGAGTGTGTGTATCATCAGTGCCTGAGAAGGAAGGCCACCAAAAGAAGTGAGTCTGGTGGAAAGGCCTGACTGAGGAAGGGAGGCACCTTGCTGGATGGGGGCGGGAAGACTGGGATAAATCTCTGCTGCAGAGAGGACCAGAGAGAGAAGGGCCTAGCAGGCACTGAGAAGGGATGCCCCTCATTTGCCCATACTCTGCTTCTCCTAAAGCTTGTCAATGCCCCAGACATGAGCCAGCCCAGGCCCCGCTACGTGGTAGACAGAGCTGCGTACTCCCTCACCCTCTTCGATGATGAGTTTGAGAAAAAGGACCGCACCTACCCGGTGGGAGAGAAACTTCGCAACACCTTCAGGTAATGTGGCCCAGAGCCCAGACTCCTCTTTCCTCTGTTCCTCACCAAAATCCATCCTGCTCCAGCCAGGGCTCCTGGACCAGTACCCAAAGGGTTAGGGAAGCCCTAGGGGAGGACAGGTTCTGAAACCCGAATACAAGAGCCTGCAAGCACATATACCCCAAGATCCTTGGGGAGGACGGAGAGGAGGAATGAGGACCACTCAGCCATTTCAGAAGGTTGTAGGGTGGTGTTTCCATCCCCTAAGTAGCATCTCCTGAAATCTCAGTCCTCTTAATCATCTCTCAGGTCTTCAAGTACCTCTGGATGGATGTGCTATGATAGGCCATGGAGTGGCAGGGAGCACCTGAGCCCCTCCTCCATGCCCCATCCTTGGGTATCAAAAGGCACCATCTCCCCATGTCTCATCCCTCATGGATTGTCTTTCTTCCATCCAGTTCAAAGAATTCCTAGAGGAGGCCCTAAGTTCCTAGGCTGTTCTAAGAGACCCTACCAGCCTTGGGGTTCCTCCCACTCTTGGGTCCCTGAACTGTGGTAGTGGTCTGTGCAATCTTGCCTCGAAGGAAAGTGCCCCACACCTATACCTCGGAAGCCTGAAGCCACGGGCTCCCTGCCCCCTCCCCAGACTTCTGGCAGACCTCACCCTCCCTTGCTCTCCGGCGGAAACAGCTGATTCAGTTACCTGGATTGAGGTCACTGGCAGTAGCTAAAGTGGAGCCGCAGGTGGAACTGGTTGAGGCCAGGGAATCACCCACTAGAGTCTTTACTAAAGCCCTGGACCAACCCTGCTTCTCCTGGGAGGTTCCATCTCTGCTCAGCGACACTCAGGGGTTGTGAGTCCAGTGTCTGGGCCCTGGCCTTGCTGCTGTGCTTCTCAGACAGACGGGCAGGCGCAGTCAGTCTTTGTGTTCAAGGAGTTTACGTTTACATTGTTTGTGTGCTGGTGGGATGGAGGATCTGATGTTCCTGAAGGTTAGGGCTGATGAGAACTGTACAGAGAAGGAGAAAATTCACGGTTCTCGTGACGTTGGCACAAGAGCCTTGAACAGGGCCTCGCACACAGGCGGTACTCCAAAGAACATTGGTTGAATGAATGAATGAATGAATGAGGGTCTACAGAGCTAATCCCGCCCTCCAATCCTGTCCTGGACTCTGAGGCTTCTATATAAGTTGTCTGGCATCTCTTTCCAGCGCTTCTTTCCGACTTCAGGTTGCTTTGCCTGACATATGGCAGAGGCGCAAGAAGGCTGGGTGTGTGAGCCGTGTTCCTCCCCTCCCTCCCCCCCGCCAGCTCTCTACCGGCGAGTCCAGTTTTCTCTGCCATAAGCAAACCTGTCAGAGCTCCTGCAGAGCTGTTGCCTCCTAGCACAAGGCTTTTAGGTATGCATGAAGCCGTTCACCATTTCCCGGGTGCAAGAAGCACCGCAGACCCCAGAAGAGGCTGGACTGACAGGCTGGTGGAGATGCCGTTCTGCCGAGTATTTAATCGGGACCAAAAGAAAAATCTGCCTGGACTTTCCAGGATACAAAGCATTGTCTGTGTTGGTTTCAGTCTTGGGTGACATCCAGGGGCCCCAGTGTCAGGGAAACTATTGTTGAGCAACAACAAAGAGTAAAGATTGGTGCGGGGCAAGAAAGGAAGCCTAATCAGTCTAGGCCCGTGAGTCACCGGAGGAACCCAGGGCATTTGACTTCCCTCACTTGGGAGAAGAAAAGCAACCCACCCCAAGTCATCAATCCATTGGCTGTCACCCTCAGGTTTGTAAGCCCTTGTTCCTGCTACCCATGAGTCTCCATGAAAGGATCTCAGGGTGTTCCACAAACAGTAACGATCAATACTCCTTACCCTGTCAGCCAAGGAACGGCTCTCCCATCTTCCTTTTCGCTCTGATGCTTTGCCAGTGGTGAACACCCACACTAGACTCACCGTATGTAGAGGACAGCAAGTAGGTGGAGTGCGCCTCGCAGGGACAACAGAGATTGCCTTTTTGTGATGTTCAAAAAGAAAGGGACTTGACACCCCAAGAAGGCTGAGCTACCATTAAATCAACAGCTTGAAGCCCAGCCTTGTGGATTCCCAAGTGGAGGGCCAACAACGATGCCCGGCGTGTGTTGCTGGGCTCTCCAGTTTAAAGCACAGCTTTCCCTCCACAACGTCCTGCGTCCTGCGGCACAGGCTGTGCACTGAGATTGAGTGAGCCAAAGGATGGCGGTGCCGGCATCTCGCTGCAACCTGCCCTCTTCCACAGGTGCTCCTCGACCAAGTTCAAAGCCATTGTGTTGGGGCTGCTGCCTGTGCTCTCCTGGCTCCCCAAGTACAAGATCAAAGACTACATCATCCCAGACATGCTGGGTGGACTCAGTGGGGGTTGTATACAGGTGCCACAAGGTGAGAGTAGCCCAAGCCAGGCCTAGCTGGCCAACCCCTCCTGTTCTTTCTCTACCCTCTGACCTCTGTGAGCCAGATGCTCTCCTGAGCGAAGACTCCCTCTCTGTCTCTTGCAGGCATGGCATTTGCGTTGCTGGCGAACCTTCCGGCAGTCAATGGTCTCTACTCCTCCTTCTTCCCCCTCCTGACCTACTTCTTCCTAGGGGGTATACACCAGATGGTCCCAGGTAAGGGTTCTCCCCTCCCCCCTCCCCTACTCCCTCATCCCCATCCCTCCCCCACTAAGCATGATGACTTAGACTCCAAAGACACAGAGCATGGTGAAGGAGGTTCCGTTTCTACCTTTATTCTCCTGGAGTTGATGTTGATCCAACCTGAAAGGGTGATCTCTGCATCAGTCCTAGGTCCTCGGTGACCTTGGAGAAATCCTTCCACCCTGGGAGCTCAGTCAGCATGGCCTATTGCATCTTTTTCCCAGGAAGGAGCGCAAAGTATGACAGAACATTATATGCCATATGTTATGCAGACCAAACAGATTGAGACACAACTGCTCTCAGCAGGCCACTGCAGGGAAATTCGGAGTTGCCTAGCACCAAGTGAGAAGGAGGAAGAGAACCCAGACGCAGTTTCTGGGCAAGGCTGTGCTGGCACTTCTGAGCTGGTGTCCAGGGAGATGATGTTAACAAGGATGTACCTGATCTGGGGAAGTGTCCTTGGCAGCTTAGGTGTGGCAGCTGATGAGGTGTTGTTGGCCGAGACCAGCGTAGGGAACCATTCCTCCGGGGCTGGTGCGCATTCCAGGGCTGGACCCCTTGGTCATTTCCAAGGGCATGCTGCAAACTTCTGACTCTTGCTGGCTGGGTGGGGCACCGCAGGTACCTTTGCCGTTATCAGCATCCTGGTGGGTAACATCTGTCTGCAGCTGGCCCCAGAGTCAAAATTCCAGATCTTCAACAATGCCACCAATGAGAGCTACGTGGACACAGCAGCCATGGAGGCAGAGAGGTTGCATGTGTCGGCTACACTTGCTTGCCTGACTGCCGTCATCCAGGTGAGGGGCACATCTCCCAGCCTTGCCAGTGAGTCTACCTCAGGGCGTGACAGACCACCTCCAAACCCCCAGTGTGGCGAAAACTATCCTTTCCATCCTAGGGACCAGAAGGGCCTTAAAATAGTTTAGACTCTCCACTTCCTGTGTGTGCCAATGCCACCGATGGAACTATCTTGAACATAAAGTCTGCCCAGAGACCTTCGGATGCCCCTTGGGGAAACCCTGATCTCTGCCAGTATCCCTGCTGCCCTTCACCCTCCTCTGCCCCAGCCCTGGCCCCAGTTGCAGTACATGCATAAGCCAACCATTTAACCAGGGGTGCAAAGAATTCCTCCAGTGTTGCTGAAAGAGGCACAGCGGGGCAGATTGCAAGGACACCGGCCACTTTAGAGACCTATCGTTCAGTCATCATTCACCTAATGTTTTCTGATTGCTTTGCTCTGCCAGGAATTAAGCTAGGCCTGAGGATACAAAGATAAGTGAAAGAAAGAGGCCCGATTCACTAGTGGCTCCTAGCGGGACAGAGGAAGTGGCCTTGTCAACAGATAAATTTGTGTGCCGCGGTGAGATAAGAGGCACAGTAGAACCCAGAACAGTGACTGTAGTAACCCAGGAAAGTCCTCAGAGAGGAGGGGACATTTGACCTGAGAAGGCAAGGTCAAATGGAAGCTCACCTTGACTGCGGGCCTGGCCTCTGGTGAAGCCTGACTGGGAAGAGTTTTAGTATGCCTCAAGGGCAGAGGGTCAGAGGAAGCCAGAAAGGTAGGCAGGAGCCCAATTGTAAAGTCTTCAGTCTGTCCTCTTGGCAGCAGTTTGGGTCCTATTTGCTCATAAAGATGGTTGGCAGGTGGAACCAAAGCAGGGATTGTGCAGAGGCCCACGCAGGAGGGACAGAGTGGTGGCCACGGCGAGGGAGATGTGGGTGGGAGGAAGAAACATTTTGCCAAGAGCATTACCAGCTCTTCATGGTTAGCAGCCTGTGGGAGGAAAGGCGGTGTGAGTCCCGGGTTTTTAGTCAGGCAACAGGTGGCACCGGGGGAGGACCACGTTTATATTAAGATAAAGGAACGGAAGCCAGCGTAGTGAAGTGGCAGAGAGGCTGTGTGCTGAGGGAACTAAGGTTTGGTGGCAGGCGCCCAGGTCACAGGGAATGTCAGGGAAAGGTTGCAGGGATCTCTTTCCCCTGAGTCCCTGCTGTCACTGAGTTGCATGAGGCTTCCAGTCAGGCGATGTGTCTGGCGGCTGGAACAGACGACCCACTGCGGACTCTTCACCTCCTTCCTTCTAGATGGGCTTGGGCTTCATGCAGTTTGGCTTTGTTGCCATTTACCTCTCTGAATCCTTCATCCGGGGCTTCATGACAGCCGCTGGCCTGCAGATCCTGATCTCTGTGCTCAAGTACATCTTTGGTCTGACCATTCCCTCCTACACCGGCCCAGGCTCCATCGTTTTTGTGAGTCCAGAAACACCCTTTGGGAAGGGGCAGGCTGGGAACAGAGTTCACACCCTTAGGAGGTGGTGGACTAATTTGTTCTGATAGCTGGCTGGGCCATTGAGCAGAGGGTTTCCCAATGGGTTCTCCTTGTGAGAAAGAGGTCTAACACAGACCCTCACGCACTCACTAGGGCTCTCTCTGATCAATCCCTGCAGAACAGGAGACCCCATTCCTCAAAGGCCTCAACTCCTTTATCCGGGAGGCCCTTCTCTTTTTAGTTTAAACTCTTGACAAGAGAAAGAAAATATATCATCTTGAAGTCCCCAGCCCCCACATCAGGTGGATCACTAGCCTTTGTAACTGTGGCTCTAGAGGATCTGACCCTCTCTCTCACCTCCATAGGGACCCACACATGTGTGGCATACACGTACACATGCACACACACATGAATAATATGAGAAAATGTAACACCTTAGCCTTCACTCCTGACACCCCGCTTTGGGAGAGGGTAGTTGGAGAGAGGATGGTATCCACAACCAGGGCTGTGTTCTGCCTTTGTATGTCTCCAGCGGCATGTCTCCCCTGGGCCAGGCACCCAAGGGCAAGGCAGTATGGGAAGAAAGGATGGGAGCCTGTGATGCTCTCTCCCTTAGACCTTCATTGACATTTGCAAAAACCTCCCCCACACCAACATCGCCTCGCTCATCTTCGCCCTGGTCAGCGCTGTCTTCCTGGTGCTGGTGAAGGAACTCAACGCTCGGTACATGCACAAGATCCACTTCCCCATCCCTACGGAGATGATCGTGGTGAGAATCCTGCCTGCCTTGGAGATGGGGTTCTGAAGGTCAGGATGGGGGGGGGGCTGTGAGTAGAGGAGCCCCTGTCCATCCCTCTACCCACTCCTCGGGCAGCCAGCGAGACAGGAAGTCACATGTGAATACATTGCATGACCCTCTATGTGAATCCTCAGGTTGCCTCATGCACACACTGCCTTAAGGTGGCAAGACAGTAGGATCTGGGAGTCCCAGAGAAAAGATTTAGAAAAGACCTCTGATTTAGCCCCTACTAAGAATCAATATCCATTCTCCACTTTGGGGTTTGCAGGTGGTAGTGGCGACAGCTATCTCTGGGAGCTACAAGATGCCAAAAAAATATCACATGCAGATCGTGGGAGAGATCCAACATGGGTGAGTCCAGATCACTCAGAGACCAACCCCAGCCTATTCTCCACCAGAGCTGGGGTCCTGATAGAGATGAGAGGCCCAAGTGAAACCTAATTGAAAACTGACTCAAAAAAGCCACATAACCAGCCCATAGTGGCCACTTCATGGAAAAGGAGTCCCAAATGCTACCCTCCCAGCCCCTAAGTTTCATGCACTGAATGCAGTCAAACAAACCTCTCTCAGGCCCACTCATCGCTGGCTTTCAGCTTTGCTCTCGTGCATAATCTTTTACGCACGCAGAAAGGGAGCCACTGAGGTCGATCAAATTCTTTAAGCATCTGTTCTATGTCAGGCACCATACTGGATCCAGAACGGCTGGGACAAGACTTGCCCTGCAGGCTTGAAACAGGGGAGGGGGAGCAAGCCCTCACAGCACCGCAGGTCTGTGGGTCTCAAAACTAGTGGACAAAGAGTCAGGATCTGGACACAAACAAATGAAGCCCTCCAGTTGACTGACTTGTTGACCTATACAAGTTCATTCTCTTAAGCCCTGGCTTCCTCCTTTCAGAATCAAGAGAGATAGGACCTGCCTTCTGATTAGAGTGTGTGAGATCACATGGGACAAGCCACCCAAATAAGACTCTGGCATACGGTGGGGGTTCAGCTCCCCTCCTCTCACACTCCTGGACCCCTGCCTCTCTTCGGATCCTCTGCAGGTTTCCCACTCCAGTGGTCCCGGTGGTTTCGCAGTGGAAAGACATGGTGGGCACAGCCTTCTCCCTGGCAATCGTGGGCTACGTCATCAATCTAGCAATGGGCCGGACCCTCGCCGGCAAGCATGGTTATGACGTGGATTCTAATCAGGTATCTCCGGTTGCCCTGGCAGGGCTCAGGGGTAGTGGGCCCACAGAAATCTACCGACGACAGCTCAGGGGTGGTGGTGATGTGACTCCTTGGTAGAGTCCTTGCCTAGCACACAAGAGGCCTTGGGTTACACCCAGCTCCTCAAAAAGGGGAGATAAAGATGTCTTGGGGCTCTGTGCTGAGTTGAGACAGTAAGGTTTGGGGAGGGGGACTAGACCTAAGGGTTGGCGGACTAGACCTATGGTTTTAGCTTTCTTTTTTCTTTTCTTTCTTTCTGTGAGGAGTCTTAGGGTGGGGAGAGTTTACATGTTTGTGTGTGTGCACATGTATATGCAAGTTCATATACATGTATGTGTGTGGAGGTCAGAGGTTAATATTTGATATCTTTCTCAACACTTTTTTTTTTTTTTTTTTGGAGACCACAGCTCATTGCCTGGTTACACTGCCTAGACAGTGAGCTCTGGGAATCCTCCTGCCTCTGGCTCCTCAGCACTGAGATTATGGGTTCACATTTTTTGCAGGGGTGCTGGGGATCTGAACCCAGGTCCTCACGCCCATGCAGTAGTGTTTACCAGCTGAACCCTGAGGCTGACCTTTTGAGTGGTCGTGTGTGGTCAGGCGGTATCACGGTCACTTCCACACCAGGCCTCAGAGTCCCCCTCACACAGATGACCGCCCACATCTGACCCCTACTCCCCACCAACCCTGCCCTCTCTCCACAGGAGATGATTGCCCTGGGCTGTAGCAACTTCTTCGGCTCCTTTTTCAAGATCCATGTCATTTGCTGTGCTCTCTCTGTCACCCTGGCTGTGGACGGGGCTGGAGGAAAATCCCAGGTGAGCCTTGCCTCAGGGGACCGGGGTAGGAGTGGAAACAGAGCAATGCCAGAGAATTCCAGATGCCACAGGTGTGCCCTCCTCACCCAGCTAGTTTTCATCCCCTGGAAAACAGTTGAGTCACAAGACGTCTGTAGCCACTCACTCCCAGCTCTTTCTCTGACTAGGTGGCAAGCTTGTGTGTGTCTCTGGTGGTGATGATCACCATGCTGGTCCTGGGGTCCTATCTGTACCCTCTTCCCAAGGTAAGAGCCCAACCCAGAGCAGGGGATGATGACAGCCTCCAGGAAGAATAACCCCTACGAGTGGGAGGAGTGGATGGATTGCGAAGTGGGAGGAGCATTTGATGGATTGCGAAGTGGGAGGAGCACGTGATGGGTTGGGAAGTGGGTGGAGCATTTGATACATTGGGAAGTGGGAGGAGCATGTGATGGATTGGGAAGTGGGAGGAGCATTTGATGGATTGGGAAGTGGGAGGAGCACATGATGGGTTGGGAAGTGGGAGGAACATTTGATGGATTGCAAAGTGGGAGGAGCACATGATAGGTTGGGAAGTGGGAGGAGCACTTGATGGATTGGGAAGTGGGAGGAGCACGTGATGCCTCCATGCCCCCACTGTCACTTTTGCTGTTAGTTGCCCTATGAAGTAAACAATAGAGCGTTTTTTCCTCCCTTTTACTGGTCGAGGAAACTGAGGTTAACAGCCTGACTTGTCTGGTGAGGCAGCTCACGGTGTAGGATTGGTTTCTGGGAGCTGGATCCCTAGGCTGGAGGGTAAAGGGCAAGGTGTCTGGGAGTGCAGCACACCCGCACCGCACAGCCTCTTACGAGGATGTAAGGTGTGAGCCGCTCAGGGCTGCAGGAGAGGGAAATATAAAGGCAGCCCCAGAATAAGTGGTGTGGCTCAAGAGGCTTCACTTCGCAATCCTAAAACTGAGGAGGAGCTTAGGAAAGGAGCCCCGGAACTCTAGCTTTGTCTTGTTGGGCTCCAGGGTCAGTTGTGTGTAGGAAGGACAAGATGAAGGGGACGCCTCAAATGACACAATGTTCTCCTTCTCTTCTGCTTCTCCAGGCTGTGCTAGGAGCCCTGATAGCTGTCAACCTCAAGAACTCCCTCAAGCAACTCAGCGACCCCTACTACCTGTGGAGGAAGAGCAAGCTGGACTGTGTAAGTGTGGGGTGCCCTCTGGTTACCCACAGATGCCCCTGCCCTCCTCTCAGTCCGCAGCTCTGGCCTGATGCAAGGTGCTCTGATGTTCCCTAGTCCCCAGGGGCTGAGAAGCAGGCTTTGGAGAGAGCCATTCTTTGCTCAAGCCTAACTCGACCACTCCCTGGCTCTGTCGCCAATAGCAAATTCCCTTACCTCTCTAAGCCTCAGCTTCCGTGTCTGTGAAATGGGCACATTCGACTTCAGGATGACCTTTAAGAAGATGGGATTAGAGAACCATGTGCCTGTGTGAATTGCCTGTGTGATCAACGAAATGTAGTAGCTACTCTTTTTATAATTTACTACCCACACCTCCCTGTTCAGTAAGAAAACTTAGAACATGAAGTCAGAAGACCAGGGTCCTGACAAAGTATCTAGCCTCTTCCTGAGTTCTACCTCCTCATCTGCCTGTGGGATGGAGCTGTGTTGCTGCAGCAGGCGCTGGCCCTGAAGATAAATCCGCATGGGAACGTGCCATGCTACACAGGCCTCCTGCAACTGTGGCTTCGTGCTTCAGCTGCACCGATGAGGGCTCCAGTGTGTTGACAGGGCTGCCTCGGGTCCACGTGAGCGCACCCACAGGCGCCCAGAGGGGAGACTGACTAAACACCGCGGAGGACGACAAAAATCAAGGCTCAGCGTGGTTCGGTAAAAGTCATCAGAAGCATCTCAGGAAGCGAGTGCCGGAGTCTGACTGGAAACCCTGCTGGGCTCCAGGCTTCTGGACTGTCCTGCCACTCACAGGCAGAGGCTTGGCCATACCACCTATGGAAGGAAATCTTTTATGTCAGGAACTGTGTGGTCCCTCTGGGGACTTCCAGTTAGCGGTGGAGACGGGAAGAAACGAAATGCTCCCACCCAGCACATGATCTGATTTTACCACATGGTGCCCACCTCCCAGCAATGGCCGCAGTCCTTCGTAGCCAGATGGTACCCTGTGACTTGATCTTCGCTGCGTGTCTCTGTAGAAATCCCAGCAGAGGCTGGCTCCTCCAGAGCTGTTTGGGGGACAATCAGCACCCCTGATCTACATTTTCTCCATTCAGGGGTTGAGTTCCCATCAAACCACACACACTCCACTGCTAGACAGGAAGAGGCTCCATTCACTCGGGAGCACACTCCATGACTCTCTGACTTTTCAGTCTTCTTGCAGAATGGACCTCATTTCCCCCCCCCCACCATGAACCAGGAAACTGGCTCCCCCAGCCACACAGTCCAGAACCCAGCTTTGAACCTGGGTGCCTCTGACCCAAGTGCATACTCTTCTTTCTCGGCTCACACCGTCTCTCGGTGCACGCTTCCATCATCTCTTAAAATAGAAGGCTCGAATTCTATTTTTAAAACTAGGCCGAGAACTGGGGTGGGGGTGGAGCTAGATGGTAGAGTGCTTGTCTGGGACGTGAAGCCCTGCATTCAATCCCCAGCTCTGGGGGAAAGCAAATTCAAGAGCTGCACTCAATGTAAGAGAAATGGGCAAGAAAAAAAAAAAGTCCCAGCACGTGACTCGCTGCAAACGTGAAGTAAGAATGGAAGGAGAGATCTGAGTTAGGCAGGCCAACTAGGGCCTTGGCTAATCCCAGGAGACTTCCTGCAAAGGGCGGGTTTTCTCCCTCACACTGCCTTTTAATATCTCTCTCTCTCTTCACAGTGCGTCTGGGTGGTCAGCTTCCTCTCCTCATTCTTCCTGAGTCTCCCCTATGGCGTAGCAGTGGGTGTGGCCTTCTCCATCCTGGTTGTGATCTTCCAGACTCAATTGTAAGTGACAATCTCATCCCTCCCTGGCCCGGTATGGGTTTACTGGACCAGTCTGCAAGAGCTCTCCCATGCCAAGGCCTAGCATAGTGCACTGTAGCTTCTGCCTTCTGGGGCCAGCGCAGGGACATGCTGTCAGACTGCATAAGTACATAACCTAGCCAGGACAGTGGGCATAGACTAAGTTATCTGACTTTTGCACCCTAAAACCCCAGAGTAAACCAGCATGGGTTCAGAGGGCTGGGGAGGAGGAGGAGCACACAAGGAAGGGTGAGTGGGCTCTCCCACTCGCCTTCCAGAAGCTCTGTGAGAACCTCAGCTCAGGTGGGGCCCATCCCTGGAAAACTTTAGGTCAGAGCATGAACTCTGTGTTCTTCCTCCAAAAGAAGCCATTAGCACAGGCTGAGGATGCCTCGGAGGAGATTGGGGTGTGGGTAAGGACAATGCTGGGTGTAGGAGAAATCAGGAAGTGCTGGCTTCCTGTACCCATGTACCCCTTCTCCCTTCTCTCCCCCGAGCCCCAGTCTGGGGGCTACACCAGCACATGCCTGGTTATAGACCAGTCATAGACCACCAGGGCCACGACCCCAGGGCAGAAAGACTGCATAAGAACAGGAGTCCTGGCTGGTTTTTCTCATCCCCGACCCCAGCATCACTCCAAGCTACTAGCATGCTTACTCTCCATCCTTCTCTCCTTCATCTAGTCGAAATGGCTCCACACTAGCCCAGGTCATGGACACGGACATCTACGTGAACCCCAAGACCTACAACAGGGTACGTGATTCAAGCTTAGGACCTCCCTGCTCCACCCTGTCCCCTCCCCAAGACCTATCTGCGACCTGAGCTCAGTCTCCCTGTCACAGGTCCAGGAAATTGAGGGGGTTAAGATTGTCACTTACTGCTCCCCTCTCTACTTTGCCAACTCAGAGATCTTCAGGCAAAAAGTCATTGCCAAGGTAAGGCTCCATCCTTGCTGACCAGAGGGCTGAAGAGAGAGTAGCCAGAGATGGAAGCAGAAAGGGGCTAGACACCCAGGGCAGGCCACCCCACAAGGGGCTAGACAC